TAAGACGGGAAAAGTTTTTTTTTTTTTTTTTATTGTTGAAATTTATTTAAATGTATTTTCCCACTAGCCATGTCCCGAAACTATCGCTGTGATCAAATGACATCAATGCCACTCGCTACTTAATCCCTCTCTTCAGCATTCGCTTACTAGATGTCCTGCCGGGATCTTTGGTTGGCGGCCACAATCTTAAAAGCATAATATATGCAGTTGTTACAGTGTTGATAGCAGACACGGAAAGAAAACTACAAAATCTCCTACAGAAGGCAGTGAAGAAACGCTGGAAGAAAAGGACTAAACATAAACTACAAGAAGACAGAATATATGGTTGTTAGCAAAAGGAGCAGCCCAAAATGCAAACTAAAAATCGGGGATACCAAAATTAAACAACTACAAAAATTTAAGTATCTTATAAAGTGTTAAAACAGAGGACGGACAGTCCAACACTGAAATCCGAAAACGCATTGGAGTAACCAAAGATGCCTTTCAAAAACTAAGCAGAGTATTAAGAAACATAAAAAATATCATTAGAACCATAGAAAAGAGTACTGAACTATTACGTGATATCTGTCCCCCTATATGGCAGTGAATGCTGAACAATCTTTTCAATGATGAAGAAGAGACTGGAAACAACAGAAATATGGTTCTACAGAAGGATGCTGAGGATACCATGGATCGAACATGTGATCGACGACGAGGTATTAAAGATTATTGAAACAAAAAGGAAACTTATACTTAACACCAGAAAGAGGCAGTTGTTAATTTTTTAGGTATGTAATGAGGACGAAGGGCTTGGGAAATCTGATACTCACAGGGCAGATTGAGGGAACGAGAGACAGAAGAAACCAATGCGTAACATACTTAATGGACTTGAGTAAATATATGGTAGATCGGGTTTTGGGAGAAATAGTAAAAAGACAGAAGAGCTACAAAAGAGAGGAAGATGTGGAGAACCATAATCATCTACGTTCTGACGGAAAGTAAAGTAACCTTCAAAACTTAACGATATTGTTTATGTATGTATTTTCGCTGTCTCTCAATTAAGGTTTGCCGTCTAATTGTAAAAACTAGTTTCATAGCTTATTCGCTGATTTCATTTGTCCTTGGCCTGTATACCTTTTGAGTGTCAAATTCTCCAAGCTATCTTTCCTCGTTATGTATCATAGAAAGTTGAAATATCTCTTTTTGATTCTAACTACAAGTGTTATTTATGTTTTCTTTGAAATTTCCTCGAACTTACATCTGCCGTCCATGGTATATTCAGCATAATTCTTTAGGAAAAAAGATCTATTGCCACACGTCTCTTCTTCATCTATATCCAGTATTCACGTGTACATGCATAAGGACTGATATTACACAATATTACACAATATTATAATACAACCTTTGAAGCCACCCTGTCTGGCGGCATTTAAGCTAGCTCTTGTGGAGGGCTCTTGACTGGACCTTCATCGCAATAGGCAGGGAGGAGTAGATGCGATAAGCAGCAATAAACTACAGAAGAACTCAAAATTAATCGATAAAATTAAAGTATTTCATTAATATTTGAGTTTACCTTTTAAAAGTTCAACGATAATTCTTCTGCCGCCACTTAATTTAAAGACAATTGTCTGTCTGGAATAAATTATTACCGTAGGTCCTTAATTTCCGTACAAACAATTAATTTTATTTCATGGGAGACTTTCACTGGATTTCGCAATTAATTTCGGTTATTTCCAAATTTATTTCCAAGTTATAAAAATTGTTATCGTACAAAAAAAATAAATAAATAAAATAAAATCGTCCCAAAAAATCACGTACAAAAATCGGCGAAAATATTCGTAGTAATGAAAAGCAAAATGGAATCCAAAATTTCAGAATGGCGGGTCCAGATCCAACCCGGAATGATTTTAATTTGATCACGGAGTTAGCCTGATTCCAAAATGTGGGGCTACGACATCTAGGAAAACACAGACAATTTTATTTTGAAACACTGTAATTTGAGAACAGTAATTTTTTTCATTTGAATATGAGCTACTGAAAATCAGAGAGTTGTGTCCCCTTAATTGTTTTTATCGGTAGAAGCCAAGATGGCGGAATTAGAAAACAATCGCAGTAATGAAAACTTGGGAATCCAAAATTTCAGGATTGAGGTCTGGATTCGAACCGGAATGTTTTTTTTTTAATTTGCTCACGGAGTCGGCCTGATTCCAAAATGATACGATATGTTGGCCTACGGCCTTGAGGACTAAAGCTGAAAAAGTGTGACACAGTGACATTTATTATATATATTAGATAATATTACATAATACTGATATTACATAATATTTCAACACTTTGTTTCTAATGACATTGTTTTGTGTTTTAACACTTTGCTCAGCTTTTGAAGCTATTTCTATTGGCTCAAGGCTCTTTTTCATCTGTGAAGAGACTATCCAGTGTTCACTGCCATATTTTTTTTAATCATTTCACACCCAAGCAAGACAGGAATTCCACTAGTATGCAAGAGGTTATATGGAGTGAAAGAGAAGATTGAGGAATAAGATTGAGGAAAGTGCGAGAAAAGAAACTGCTGGAGTAGAAGTGACGTTTGCATTTAACTATTTCAACAGTAAAAGGGTGGGACCTAAATGACAATCTAGCACGCTTAAATTTATGTAGTCGAAGCAGCAGGCAAAAAGATCATCAGAACAGTTGCCATGAAAATATTTGTAGAAAAGACAGAGGGAAAATATTTGTAGAAAAGACAGAGGGAAAATACATCAGGTCTATGAGAGAGTGACTGAAGTCGAAATGTCTAGTCAGAACTAATTGCATTGTAGATCCTTTTTTGAATTTTGTTAAAAACCTCGAGATGAACAGCAGGGGCTCCAGACCAGATATAACAACACTATTCAATGAATGGAGGAATGGTAGATTTATAGATGTGTAAGATGGACTCTGACGAGAAAAAAATTCTGGCACGGCACAGTGAACAGACTTTCCTTGCAGAAGATGACGTTATTGATTCAATGTAGTCTTTGGTTCCGCCAGACCTAACCTTCACGACTAGGACCCCTCATAGCAAACCACCCACATTCCCTCCGTATTCCTTCGGTGTCAAGTAAGTTCCACTCGAACAGCTTCTTCCCACGAACTACTGCTCTGTGAAATAGACTCCCGAGAGGTTGTTTCCCAGATTACTAAAATCATAACCTATCTAGACTTACCCGTTTCTTCTCTTCCTACCCGTATAAACTGCCTCCTAACGTAACTCTCTACCTCGAGTGGCTCCCAGGTTTTGTACAGGGTGAACCTTACTGTACTATAAAAAAAACAATTTCTCCTTTTCAAGTCTACACAATCTTGCTATCCCACTGTTATATAGGAATAGATTGTCGCTGCCGACACTTAAGTTTGAACATAGATCGCCAGTGAACAAACACAGGCGGTCCCATTATTGAATTAGGTAGATCACGTGACCATAGAGGAAACGCATACATAGGAAGTCACGTGATGTATAGATTGATCGTTATTTCTATTGTATCTTCTGTTATTATTCGGATCGTCATTTCTAGTCTATCCTCTATTGCTATTCGGATCGCCATTTTACATCCCCAGAGTAGTAATGATGTCTGAACTGCCCAACATACAAATCACAAACTGGAGACGCCAAAATCAATCTAGCAAAAAAAATGGTAAGTACAAGTCGGCAGTACTAAAATCAAGCAGGTAGAGAGATTAAAATATCTGGAAAGTGTTCAAACAGAAGATGGAAATCTGAAAGCTTATTAGGATAGCGAAAAATGCTTTCCAAAAGCTAAGCAGAGTATTAAGGAACTGAAAAACTTCGTTAGAAACAAAGAAAATAGTACTGAACTATTACGTAACATCAGTCCTCCTATATGACAGTGAATGCTGGATAATCTTCTCAAAGATGAAGAGACTTGAAGCAATAAAAGAATGATGAGGGTACCTTGGACCGAACACGTGAGAAATGACAAAGGATAACAAAAGGAGACTTATGCTTAACATTATGTTCCCTAAAAAATGTTAACTGTCTCTTGGTTAAAATTTCTAGGGAACATAATAACTAGGATAGACTGTTCTAGTTCCACGTGCCGTGTCTAATGGATGTTAGTTATCATTTATCTCCTGTTAATTCCCCTCTTCAAATTATCCACCGCCTTAACCAGGTATTGAACTCACGCTCTTTGGGACCTGTAACTGGATCTAACTAACGCCTTTATTCACTGTGCAATGTGACCTTGACATGCGCTAGTTCCACGTGCCTTAGACATGGCACGTGGAACTAGAACAGTCTATCCTAGTGAGCGAAATAAAGGGTTCAGTTCGACATTCCAACCACCTGAAGAAGAACGGAGCGTACAACGGCCGAAACGTCGTGATAAATATGGCGAAAAAATGACGACAATAGTCCAAATAATGTAAATAGTGTAAACCCTAGAGGACTTACCCATCTGATTAAGGTTAGGCAACTAACAAGCAAGTCTGTTATAATCATAGTCATTTTCATTTACCATGGCAAAACATGTCCATTTTATCATCTCCTAGTTCAGATTGAACGACATGAGAGCTATGTTGTCATAAATGCACAACGTTCAACATAGCCATCATAGCATTCAGTCCGAAAAGAGTATACACGACACATGCATCACAGCCAAATATGCACATTATCGTGAAACGTCTTCATAAAAGCAGCTCTTTGCCTTGCAAGGTGGAGCCCAAGTGAGAAACAGTTTCATGTTCGGTAACCCAGTCCGCTCAGACGATCCCCGATCGAGAGTGTTTCAAAGTGATGTAGAGATAATTCCCAAGTCGTCTTATCTGCCTCATATTCCCCCCCCCGCACCACCCAAAAAAAAAACTTTCGATACTCGGTCATGATGCTCCTCCACTATACCCACGCCTGAACCGCAATGCACAGTACCACAATCCCTTATCTGGCTATGGTCAAGCATTAGACGGGCAAATCTGTGTTAGCAAATGCGATGTTTACTGTAGTCCATCTTAATCCACCAAGCCAAAACATGTAGATGTCCATACCTTCCAGTCAATTAAGATCAGAAGCCATACCTGGCCGTTGTACTCTCCGACCTTCTTCAGGTGGTTGAAATGTCGAACTGAACCCTTTATTTCACTCACTGGTGTAGACTGTTCTAGAGCCACGTGGAACATGCCAAGGCCACAGGGCATAGTGGATAAAGGCGTTAGTTAGACCCAGTGACAGGACTCAAAGAGTGTGAGTTCAATACCTGGTTAAGGCGGTGGAGAACTTGGAGAGGGGAATTAACAAGAGATAATTGATAACTGACATCCATTAGACATGGCATCATGTAGAAAACAAAGTATAACCTTCTTAGTGCCCGGTGTAGCATCATCATCACCTTCATCATCATCATCATTGTAGTAAATGTGCAGTGATTTTAATGCTTGTGTTAGCAAAAGGGACAACCCAACATGCAAATTACAAATTGGAGATACCAAAATCAAAAAATTACAATAATTTAAATATCTAGGAAGTGTTTTAACAGAGGATGTAAAGTGCAACATTGAAATCTGAAGGCACATTGGAATAGCTAAAGATGCCTTCTAAAAGCTAAGCAATGTATTAAGAAACATAAAAAATTCATTAGAAACAAAGAAAAAAGTGCTGAACTGTTACATAATATTGGTCCTCCTATATGGCAGTGAATGTTGGACAATCTCCTCACAGATGAAGAAGTGACTTGAAGCAACAGAAATGTGGCTCTACAGAAGGAGGCTGAGGATATGGACCAAACAACAAAGTTTTAGAGTAAATGGGGACAAAAAAAGAAACTTAACATCAGGAAGAAACAGTTAAAATTTCTAGGGTGCATAATGATGAAAGAAGGCTTGGAAAATCTGATATTCACAGGACAGATTGAAAACAAAGCATAACCGACTTAGTGAGCTTGAGTGGTTTGGATGGCGGAACAAGGTTTAAGAGAGATAAAAAAAAAGAAAAAATTTAAGAAAAAGCCATGAAGTAAAGGAAGTTGTGGAGAGCCATATTTGTCAACTTCCTGAAGAGACATGTCACACTGAAGAAGAGAGAGCAGTATACCAACCAAGTTACATTCAGGTACAAATATAATATGTACCCATTAATAACAATCTAATAAGGGTATGATTTCATTTCCATGCATTATAAAAATAATGTGCAGTATCTGGTGACATGTTGATAAATACAGTGCATGACCTTGCAGGTGGGACCCAGTTAGAAATATCTTCAGGTCAGACATCCCAGTTCACTCAAGCTGTCTTCAATTGACAGTGTTCCTAAATATTTAGGTGTGGTTCCAAAGTTACCTTATCTGCCTCATCCTTCAAACATAAAAAAGAACAACTCTATTTTCATGGCAATTGCTCCGAGGAGCTGCATTCGCTGGTTCCCAGACTTCATGAGTTCAAGCGCCCTACGAGGCTGGCATCCCGCTCTCACCCTTTCACTATCGAAACTACTAAATGTAGCCGGCTCTTCTACTCTAATAGCTTCATGTCTCGCACCACTCGTCTGTGGAACTCCCTTCCCTATTCCAGTTTCCCTGAGAGCTATAATCTCCAACTATTCAAATGTAATGTCAACCGACATCTCCAGTTGTCTTGATCTATCCACTACCCTTCTCCTCATCCTTTCTTCTATCACTCCTATCTGATCCTGCTCCAAATTTTCTGTAACCCCTTGCGTCTTAGTGGCTTCTCGCCTTGCTTGGGGTGAAACGCTTAGAAAAAAAAGAAAAAAAAAGCACCCATCTATAATGCTCCCTCACTACTCCTGCTCATTAACAGATATACACAGTGTGTTGACCTTAGGAACATGCCCAACTGGTTAAGGTCAAGCAACTGGCAAGCAAATCTGTGATACTGTGGTAAAGATATTTACTGTAGCCCATCTTGATTCACCAAAACATGTGCATGTTAACATCTCCAGTCAATTAAGATCAGAAGCCATGGGAAACCGTGGCAATTGTTATTATTATTATTAGTAGTAGTTGTAGTAGTCGTAGTAATAGTAGTAGTAGTAGTAGTTGTAGTAGTCGTAGTAATAGTAGTAGTAGTAGTAGCATTTTTTTTTAATTTGATGCATCTTGACACAAAGTCAATAACCTTTTGTTTACTTAGTTCCCAGGCTGATTAATTAAACTCGGCCTTTTTCTCTTTTAGCGTTTGACTTTATTTTTAATACCTCTATTATACCACGTTTACTTTGTTTCATCTTGGGCAGTTAAAAATCAGTTGCGACTGCATCGGGGTGGGAAAAACCTGTTGACTTGTTCATCATGAGATTGATCATCGACCACAGTTCCCAGATCTTTACCGGTCATAAAGTAGAAGGATTCGCACTTGGTGGCAAATTAAAAAAAAAAGATAAAAAAAGGTGAATAAAATAAGTATTGTTTACGTTTGTGTCAGGCGTGAAATGTGCGTAATTATCGGGCGAATGAGCTTTTCTCGGTTTTAGATTCAAGCTTTCTTGTCTTGGTAGTGTTACTGGACTTAGATGTAAACGCAGTTCCCAATTGTGGGGTGAAAAAAAATATAGCGGCGTGGTGGGAAACAAAGGAGAATTTAAAACATATATATAAGTGAAAGAAGAAGAAAAAATATAAGTGAAAAAGAAGAAAAGGATAAGTGAAGCGAAAAAGAAAAATAAGTGAAAAAGAAGAAAAAATATAAGTGAAAAAGAAGAAGAAAAAATATAAGTGAAAAAGAAGAAGAAATATAAGTGAAAAGAAAAAGACAAAAATAAAAGTGAAAAAGGAAAAGAAAAATACAGGTGAAAAAGAACAGTCTAAATGAAAAAGAAAAAATAAATGAAAATGAAAAAAATATATAAGTGTAAAAGAAGAAAACTGTAAGTGCAAAGAAAAAGAAAAAATAAGTGAAAAAAAAAAGAGAATATAAGTGGAAATGAAGAAGAAAGGATATAAGGGAAAAAGAAGAAGAAAAATAGAGGTGAAAAATAAGAATATAAGTGAAAAAGAAAAAATAAAGGAAAAAGAAGAAGACAAAATATAAGTGCAAAAGAAGAAAAAATATAAATGAAAAAGAAGGAAAATATATGTGAAAAGAAACAGAAAAAAAAATCAAGTGAAAAAGAAGAAAAAAGCCAACCGGAATTATTGTTTTTGAGACTGGAAAGAGAAAAAAAGAGACAACAGATGAGAGAGTGACAGAACAGAAAAGAAAAGACGAGAAAGAAAGAAAGAAAGAAAGATACAAAGAAAGAAAGAAAACAATAGGATGTAAAGGTTGAAGAAAAGAATGAAAAGAGAAAGAAGATTGAATAAAGAGAGAGAGAGGGGGAAATCGATAAAAAATTGTTTGAAGAAGATATTTAAAATCCTCTGGGATAAAGAAGAACCAATTAAAATATAACTGCACGAAGGACTGACTAATAAGGAAAATTAGGTGTGGGAATACTACGCGAGAAGACTATTGACAACTATAATAAAATGATGTGTTCACCATTAAAGCCAAGACAAAGGATAAAATGTATAGAAAGCCGGTTGAAGCCATAAAAATATCGGATTAAAAATAAATTCATTAATTCTTTAGAAATTACTTTGTTTAGCTTTCAGATACGAAACTAAACGAATACAAACCTGGCTCAGCTGTGATGTTATTCGTAGCCGGGAGTTAAAGCACGCCATCTCAAGCAGTGACTTTTCCCATAAATGGTGACTCAGGTTCGATCCCTGCTGAAGAACGAATTTTCTTTAAGATTTCCCGTATGCGCAAGGCAATAGACCTATTGAATTTATAAATAATGCTTGAATTAAAAAATACTGCGTCTATTTCAAATTATATATATATATATATATATATATATATATATATAGAGAGAGAGAGAGAGAGAGAGGCAGACAGAGAGAGAGAGAGCGAGAAAGACAGATAATATTAATGGTCAAGATATGCAGACATGCATATATATATATATATATATATATATATATATTTCCAAGAGGAGAGAATCCAGGTAGAGCTCAATGTCCAGGACAGAGCAAGAATATAATAAAAAAGACTCAAACACTAATATTCCATGGTTATAATTTATTACATTCATCAGACCGACAAATTCAAAAATGTACCTGGATTCTGTCCTCTTGGAAAATTATATATATATATATATATATATATATATATATATATATATATATATATATATATATATATATATATATATATGTATGCATGCATTTCATTAAATAATATAAACAAGTTTTGTCTATTTATTTTATGTAAATTCTTTTCATATCGTCTGATGAGTTTAATAACATTAGCATTAAAGAATAAATTGATACATATTTTTAAATCCTATCTAAGCTTTCGTCTGATATAAGCCATTATCAAAGATGACAGTTACATTACAATATATTAAACAATACACCGACAAAACAATAATGATAGTCTGTTTTTGTTTACATGGAAGATTTCCAAGCAACGACAAATTCGTGCATACGAGACGCTGGAAACGAAAATTGCACCATAGCTCATGACGTCACATATTGCCACGCGAGAGTGAAAACGAGAAGTATTTAATATGGGAAGCTGTTGGTATAAACCAATGGCTTCTGCTATAAATTATAGGCATTTAAGAATATTTGTGGAATTTTATAGTTTATTTATTTTGTTCAGGTTAGGTTTCAACTGTTTTATGTATATAGCTTCAAGAATTTTTAGTTTTTGTTTATTGTTTTCATGTTTATGTATAGTTGTCTTTTCAACGAGGATTTTCCGGAGTTGTGTAAGCGGCCGGGCATGTTGTTTTAAATGCCTAAATATATATATAAAGACAAAAAAAAACTGAGTCTGAGGGACTTTATCTAGGCAAATGTAAGGATTAATTTTGTTTCACGTGTTATTGGTTTATCAGTTATGTGCCGTGCCTTTCGATACATGACTGACGAGGCAGATTCTTTTTTTCCCGCAGTAGGTTGCCATTTCTTTTCTGCGGTAGACCAGTTGCCATCCAAGGCTATAGAACCCGGTCTGTCCTGCTATTTACCCATAGCTGGGGGAGAAGAAGAGGATTCATACCTTTCCCAAGAGTATCAGCATATCAGTGAATTTCAGTCAGTTATGTACCATGTGTGTTACACACTTAGGCGATCATGTATCTTACGATACATGACTGACTAGGCAGATTTTTTCCCGCAGTAGGTTGACATTTCTTTCTGCGATGGACCAGTTACCATTCAAGTCTATAGAACCCAGTCTGTCCTGCTATTTACCCATAGCTGGTGGGGGAAGAGGATTCATACCTTTCCCAAGGTTAAGGCTTTTCATTTGAGAACGTTTAAGAATATCCACCAGGTGGTTGAAAGATCATTCAAAATATATGAGAGATCCAAAGTGCCATATTTCAAAGTCTGGTAAGTCAAAAGTAAGCGACTAATATTCAAGAATTTTCTCTTTTTTAAATAAATGTATATTGTTTTAAATTATGATCACATTGTTATGGTTTGGAATGAGATTATGGATTTAACAATTTTCCTTCAATTTTTTTAAACATTTTAGTGTCTGTTTATGTTGGCTTCGGAAAGTAGTAATTCTTTCAGGAGAGATGACATTGGAAAGAAACCGGGGCGTAGATTTATATTTTGATATGATTCCATAGCGGCACTGTCGAGAATTTTCCTTCTTAGTAAATTACTTTCTCTTTTTAATGTTTTGACTGACTTTTCAAGCACCTGATGAATATTCATGAACGTCCTCAAATCAAAAAGCCTTGATAAACCGATGTCACCCTTGATTTTGTATATAAACATGTGCAACGAAATAAATCCTTACATTTCCCTTGATAAATTCCGTCGGAGGACGAAACACGTTGGTTAAGAATAGTTTTTCATCTTGTCTTTTTATTCATTTTGTTCCTTTACAGAAAAACTCTATCTGAAAATAATTGAGATATATATATATATATATATATATATATATATATATATATATATATATATATATATATATATTCTCTGTTTATATGTTATTTTTAATTGATACAAAGTATTTAAGTAAATACACTGTTTTTTTTTGATTTTTTTAATAAACCGTATTAACTACATTTAGCAGCCTGAAGGTTCCAGGAATTTCGTAGAAAATATGCGTTCTCTGACAGGAATCGAACCTGTGTCGTATACGGAACCCTCAATTGATCTGACGTGCTGTTATAGTGGAACACACCATTTAATAGACTCTCCCACCTATAATAAGTAGGAGTAGTAAGAGTAACGTGGGAGTCGGTTAATGAGTCAGTCAGTCGATGTCGGACGACAGATAGTCGAATACTAAACTATCAACGACCACAACTAGATTATTCTGCGTTATATCTACTATATGAAGTTCCTAACGTTTTGTACATCGAACTTATTTTAGGGCTGACTTAGTACAAATACAAGCCTCCACTGTGAAAATCACTCCACAACATTATTTGGCGACGAGGGATTCGAATTCATACGGTGCGAAAAAAAATCCGATCGCACACAACATTATTTGGCCACGAGAAAAGTGGATCAAAAAGTTTTACTTTTGTAATCATTTCACCCCAGGCAAGGTGATATTGCCACTAGGACGCAGGGAGGTTACAGTGAGCGGATGAGAATGAGACCACTTCAGTGCGAAGAAAGAAATAAAAGAACAGTGTTTAGGATGCCAGAATATAGTGAATTATGTTACATTTAAATTCTTGAAGATTGCAGGGGGCAGGGAAGATTGAGACGGGAAGAGTGTTCTAAAGGTGAGAAGAAACTATTAGAATAGAACCTACGGTGATATCTAGGTAATTAACGATCAAAAAACGGTGAGACCTAGATGCAAAATCTAGTTATACAATTAAATTTATACTGCGATGCATCAAGAGGGTAACATCATTTGAACAATCGGCAAAAAAAAAAAAAAAATTGTAGAAAAACGGCGGGAAGTCATATCAGTGGTTGAAATCGGGATGCCAGGTGTGGACCAATAAAATTGAAGACTTTTCTTTGAATTTTCTCGAAAGAAAAAGGTTCGATAAGTTTATCAAAGATGTGGCACTGATGAGCCTTTCGATACGAAACCTTTGAGTCGGCTAACAAGATAAGTCAATTGAGGTTTTTTTAATTTATTGAGTGTATATATATATATATATATATATATATATATATATATATATATATATATACTCAATATAATTTATATATATATATATATATATATATATATATATAGTGTAACCCGGATATAAGGGACCCGGATATAAGAGAAACCCGGATATAAGAGATTTTTCTGGTCCCAAATTAGAGCCTGTGTTAATGTATATAAAATAGACCAAAACCGGATGTAAGAGACTTCTCCGGTCCCGACAACTTTCTTATATCTGGGTTTACTATATATATATATATATATATATATATATATATAATTAATGGGAAGCAGAAACTTTAAAAGATCATAGTAATATTTTCATTAAAACCCATAATTATCAGTTGAACTTTCATATTTATTATTTGGTCTATATCATCTTTGTAAATATCCATACGGATTACCAAATGATATCATTATATATATATATATATATATATATATATATATATATATATATATATATATATATATATATATTCGAATTCCTGTCCAATAGCGTTAGAAAAACCTCGGACAATTCTAGTAAGGTATCTTCAATCAGTTCTAAGATACAACGATTCAGAGCTTCATCTAACAAATGAACAATTTTGCTTTTACACAATTTGGACAATTTTGCTGTTAAACATGGTATATATAGAGAGTGTCTGCCAAAAATGTATACATACTCCAGGAAAGGAAAATTGTAATATTAAATTTATTCACACATCATGTGATCAATCCAAGTAACCTTTGGATTCTACAATCGCAAGAGATGTTCAAAATGGTGGCCATTAGCTTCCAGACATTTAATAGTACGGAGAACTACTGCGTGAGCAACATTTTAGAAAGTGTCCAGTGGGATTATTGTACATGACATTTTTAATTTCTTGTCTCAGCACCGCCAATATAGTCAGTTTTTTGCAACACACAGCATCCTTTATGATTTGTTAATGCTACAGCCATGAAGAAAATGCCATCTGTCGAAAAAATATCGTACTACAGTAAACAGTGTTATCGAAATTTGATAAAACTACGAAAGACAAGTTTTTTTTTTCTTTCCTGAAGTGTGCATACATTTTATTGAAGACTCTATACCCCCATATACACACAAACACACACACACACATATATATATATATATATGTGTGTGTGTGTGTGGGCGTGTGTGTGTAAAATGTGTATGTATATAAATATAAATATATATAAATGCATTTTTTTATATATATTATTTATATATTATATGTGCGCTGTACTTATTGGAAAGCGATCAACATCAGTGATAGAGTTAACATATTTTCTGATGATATTTATGGGAGTTTGTGACCCTGGGTTTCACGCTAGATGCGATCGTCTGACGATCGCAAATAACG